ATATATATATATATATATATATATATATATATATATATATATAAATAAAATATATTTTTGATATATTTAAATTTTTAATTAGTTGTTGACTTCAACCCAAAGGTTGCTTTTTGAAGATTTCAGTGAAATCTGTTCACTGAACCTTGACAGATTTTGTCAACAGTACAGACAAATGCATATCCACACACAAAAACACAGAGACGACAAAAACCTCATCACCCAAAGACAAAGGGGCAATAATATTTAGCTATAAGAGACTTGTATTTCTTTCTTCGCTGTTGACTACAGTGATTTTTTTAAATAAATCCAACTAAGCTTGATAAGCTGCCCTTTAGAGTAGAGTCAGCAGAGTCATTTATCATCTTCAGTGCATAATTCTGTCACCAGTCTTTAGGCAGTATGAATTATTTGACGTAACCTTGACAGATGTTTGTAGGGACATTCACCCATGGGTTGAGAGGGTGCAGCATTCTTCTGTAGTGCTGAGGGGAGAGGTGAGGAGAGTATAAAGACCCTCCACCTTCACAGGCAAAGAGACAGAGTTGAGTTCTTCAATCTTCAGCTGAACCTGCATCAGTTTCAAGGCCACCATCATGAGTCAAAGCCCAGAAAGGATGTCCTCCTACCGTCGTCATTTTGAGGGCACTGGAGCAGTCAATGCCACAGACAAGCTTCGGATGTCCAGTCCATCTCCCACCCGAAAGGAGACCCGCCATAGGTCCACCAGCTTCAACCGCAGTGGAGGGTGGAAGACAATGGGGAACAGGGCTCTGACCGCCAAGTCTCGTTTGACAAGGTGGGTTTAAACTAAACAGGATTTTTAAATCCAAACCCCAAAGGGACCTAGTGGTTCCCAACCTTGGTCCCTGAGGAACACCAGTTTTAGTTGTTTCCCTGCTCCAACACACCCGATTCAGTGATTTAATTACTTCTTCTCATTCTGCAGAAGCCTGTTAATCACCCATTCATTAAAATCAGGAGCATCTTAGCGGGAAACAACTAAAATATGCAGGTGTTCCTCAAGGACCAGAGTTGGGAACCCTGATTTATTCAACAGAGAGGTAATCCTCAAACCGGAATATTGATAGTTTTAACGTATCTTTAAGCTACCCTTCTCACTGCCTTTGTATGATTACCAAGTTGAAGATAAGAAACACGACATGCAGAATGCAAAGTTTAAAAAATAAATCTCTGAATGTTTGGGTGAGTATAAAACAAATGGCAAAGGACCTTTGTAACCTGGTTTAAACGTTGCAAAAGTGCAAACCACTGACATTAAACAAATAAAAAACAAACACTGGGTTCTTTGTTTCGACCAACAGCAGTGTTAGTATGGGGACACTGTGTGTGGACATGCCCATGAGGCAGGGGACAAGTCTGGACATGGACACAGCTGCAGCAGAGAACCAGGCGTTCAAGATGACTCGCACAAATGAAAGACAGGAGATGGTCGTCCTCAATGATCGCCTGGCAGTTTATATCGAAAAGGCAAGATGATTAGCACTACACAGTTCTTTTTAATCCTTGATGCCCACACTTTTAAATGTAATGTATTTTTGTATTTACACCTCTTCATTTGGCTTGGAGGTGGTACACCTCCAGACTCTGGATAGTTAAGGCATCGGTCTGTATCTCCCTCAATCCTTTCGTTAGGTACGAACACTGGAATCGAAAAACAAGCTGCTGGAGGCTGAAATTGAGACCCTGAAAAGCTCGTATGAAAGAACATCAGGACTCCGGCAGCTTTACGAGACTCAGCTGAAGGAACTCAGCAGGGAGGCTGAGCAAATGCAAGAACGGAGGGTGAGAAAAAGAGATCTGATCCCATGAGCTCGTTACGTGCGAAAATCACAGCGACCTTAAGAGAGTTCAGTTGTGGGTCATTTTCACTTCTCTGTTGGTTGCAGACTTTCATTACTCAACAGTTTGACATTTTTATCCCTTCAGGATTTGTCTTTGGCAGCCAAGGAGGCCTTGTCGGTCCAGCTGGAGACACTAAAGTCCAAATATGACGAGGCACTGGCAGCCAGGAAGCAGACAGAGCTTGAAATTGAGGTTTTACGTCCGGTAAGACAAAAAGGAAGCCTCCTCGGAAATGAAAATAGTGTTGTAGATTAGAAAAAGAATATTCTAAAAAAAAACATGTTTTAAATTCTCCAAACTGTACTTGCCTGTACGTTGAAGGATGTGGACAAAGCTACCGCAGCTCAAATTAAACTGGAGAAGCATCAGGAAAACTTAGAAACTGAGCTGGATTTCCTGCAAAAAGTTCACAAGGAGGTAATAAACACATTTATCATATTTATAAGTCTGCAGCTTGTGGTAGGTTTTATCTTTAATGATGCAATGGGCTGGTAATGCTCCTGTAAGTGGTTTTGTTTAAATCAGGATACAGCTGATGGACAGACTATAAACCCGATCATTGTCTGTCTGGTGTGAGGGGCTCAAACAAAGAGGCAGGTTAGGACTAAGCAGGACTCCATATTCTTTAACACGTATACCCTAAATTATTCTTAATCCATCTTTTTTTTTTATTTAAATTGTTAATTTATATGTAAAGTATTTAACATATCTTTAGTTCAACCACTTTTGCGACTGCTGTGGTGTTTCTTTGCGATGTCCTAAAAGGAAATCGAGGAGCTGATGCAGCAGATCTATTCCTCAGCATCCAAGATGGACTCGACCTTTGACCTCCCAGACCTCTCCTCTGCTCTCACGCAGATTCAGTCTCAGTACGACAGCATTGCCGCCAAAAACTTACAGGTACGTTTAAACAGCGAAGCTCAAACTTTGAATGGTACAGCACAAAAACAAGTATTCAAGACGTTAATGAGTTCTGGGTCTCCTCCAGGAAATGGATACTTGGTACAGAACTATGTTTCATGACATGGGTGACGCTACTGCTAAACATGCTCAAAGTGTTCGAAGTCTGAGAGAGGAAATCGCTGCTTATAGAAAGGACGTGAGTCTTTTAAAAAAAAATTTCATTTTGGTTTATGGTTATTTGTGGCACATGCTTGAAAACACTGCTCATTCACGTATGTACCTGTTCAGATTCTGAACAAGGAACGCAACTTGGAGTCACTGAGGACAAGGAATGAGTTTTTGGAGGGTCACGTCCGTGACGTCACAGCGAAATACAAGAAGGAGGAGGAGGAATTGCAGGTGACTGACTCATGTGGATTTGCAGACTAAGTTTGCAGTTTACCGTATTTTTCGGACTATAAGGCGCACTTAAAATCCTTTCATTTTCTCAAAAATCAACAGTGAGACTTATAATCCGGTGCACCTTATCTATTAATTCTGGTTGTGCTTACTGACCTCGACCCAATTTTATGTGGTACACGGTGCTCAAAAATCTGTCAGAATGTTTTAGTTTCACTTAATGCACCTTATAATCCGAAAAATACGGTAACTGCAAAACGTTATACAAATAAAAACAATACCATTTAGAAACTTACTGCATTCAATGTCTGCCTAAAAATACTACAATAAAAACATGTTAAAGGCTAAAACTGAAATGTTTTACCCTTTTATCACTCAGTACTAAAAGGCAAAATGTGGGTGATGTTTCTGACAGTGTCTGCCTGTTAGCAAAATTTCTCATAAACAACCACGTGGATTTTTTTTAAACTTTCAGAATGTAATCGTTGGGTGTACATCTACAACTCATTGTTTCAAAAACAGCCCATTTCAAGATGGCTGCTACAGCTAACTCAACTTAAGAAACAAATATAGATATAATGCAGTCAGTTTTTAGATATTACCCTATTTTTCGGACTATAAGGCGCACTTAAAATCCTTTAATTTTCTCAAAAATCAACAGTTAGCCTTATAATCCTGTGCACCTTATCTATTAATTCTGGTTGTGCTTACTGACCTTGAACCGATGTTATGTGGTACACACGGTGCTCAAAAATCTGTCAAAATGAACTAGTTTTGTTTAATGCGCCTTATGCCTTACAGTCTGAAAAATACGGTAGATAAAATTAGTTATGGTAGCTGAAAATCATCTGCAATACATAATTTAAGCACCACTCGTGTGGCAGCTTTGCTTAAGACTTTGGGGTTAAATGTTGGAGTCAACCCCATTTGTCTGTTAGCAAAATAGCTCATGAACCATTGGACAAATTTTAGTAAAACACTCGGAAAGTTATGTTAGGATGTATATTTACAACTGATTAAATTTTGGAGTGGATCTAATTTCAGGTGGTCGCCTCAGCTAATCGACGTTAGCCCACACAAAAATGGCTAAAACTCAGCCAGATGTACATAAATTAATTTCATGTGGTAGTAGCAGACAGTCATTAACAGCACATATTTTGAGAGTGAGCTCTCGCAGTATTTTAAAGGATCGTGCATCATGTTATTTTCAAGGTTTGGCCAAAACAGCTATAACGGTCATTTCATAACAGAAGACGAGCGTAATGTGGAACTCTGGCATTAGAGAGGACGGGTGGGAAGCATTCAGTCAAAACATGATGGGCTTTTATTTGAAACATAGATATTTTACTACTTCTGTGAGAGGCAGGGGACACCATAAGATGCTAGTCCATCACAGGACCTTTCATTATTCACAATTTGTGTTTCTGAAACAAATATTTCTGCTGTGCAAAAAACAAGTATGTTACACATCACTGTAATTAAAAAAACATAATTTATTTTAACAGAGGACACAGATTTGACAACTGTTGTGGTAACTTTAAATCATCTTATTGCGTGAATGGTCTGAAAACTAACATCGTATTCTAATGCTGATTTGGCATCAGGAGCATATCGAGGCATCTGAGCAAAACCTCAAGCTGATCAAGCAGAAGACTGCTCTGCTCATGAGAGAATATCAGGAGCTTCTGAATGCCAAGATGGCTATGGAGATCGAGATCGCCACCTACAGGTGAACAAAACTCTAAAAGGCCTCTAAAACCAGATCATTTCTACTGTGTGAACTGGGCCCTTTTACATTGGATAAGATATAAACTGTCTCTAGTTCATTACTTTTAATGCTCTGTGTATCGTTCATGGCTGAAGATTAATTTTAACATCTGTTTGTTAGAAAGCTGATTGAAGGAGAAGATGGCCGTCTGAGCACCATGGTTGGGAAATTGTCCCTGACTGGTACACACCTCACTCCCAGTGCTGCCTCAGCTTCCCTCTCAGCCCCCGTGGGGTCTCTGAAATTTGATGGAGCCCCCAGTGACACAGACAGAACCAAGCCTGCTGCAGCTACAGATGGAGTGGGGCTGGTTGCTCCAGTCAACCAGGCTGACGGTAACCTGCAGCAGCAGGCAACTGAGATGTCGAAGAGGAAGACGGTCCTCATCAGGTAATCTCAGATTTTGACAGCTAGTTGTGTGAAAGTTTATGACGCATTCACACTGTTGTGATCCATCTTTCTTCTAAACGTTTTTCAGCATCCTTCTCGTTCCACATTTTTTGTACTATTTCAACAGTTCATATCAAAATGTTCAGCTCTTTCAGGACAGTCCTGCTATGACTTTTGGTATTGATGCGACTTTAGCTTTTTGAAATATTTAGCCTTTTCTGCCACCTTTTTTTTCCTCATAGAAAATGAATTTAGCTCATTTTCCATCCTTCAAATCTTTACATCCGTTTGCCTTTTACTGCTCCTTTCACATTTTGTACTGCTTCAGCTTCTTTTAGCTTCCTTGTGCAAATTTAAATATTTTAAGCTACTTTCAGCTGTTTTGTGTTCCTTTCAGAATCTTTCTGCTAACTACATTTTTGTGCTTCTACACGTTTCTGCTAAGTTCAGCTTGTTGTGCTCCTTTCAACTTATCCCTGCAAGTTTTAGTTTTTTTTCTGCTATTTCAGCTACTGTTTAGCCATTTTATGCTAATTTTAGCTTTTTCAGCTAATTCCACATTTTTGCACTAATTTTAATGTTGTTGTTTTTTTTTTCCCAATTCAGCAAAAATGTGCTCCCTCTTCCTTCTGGTAATTTAAGCTTCTTTCAGCCTTTTTTAGCTACTTTTCTTTTTTTTTTTTTTGCCAATTTCATCTTTTTCCAGATAATTTCCATTTTTTGTTCTCATTTCGGCTTCTTTCAGCATAACTGGGTAAACGTTTCTGCTCTCTTCTGCTAAGTTAAGCTTGTTCTTCCTGTTTAGCTACATTTTCTAGCTCATTTTGGCTGCTTTCAGATAAATTACAAGGTTGTTTTGGTAATTTCTGCTACTTTCAGCCTAATTAACTTCTTTCTGATAATTTCAGCTTGTTATAGGCTACACCTTTCAGCTTAATTATGCTAGTTTTAGCTATTTCCACATTTTGGAGCTCATTTCAGCTCTTTCCAATTCCTTCTGGTAGTTTAAGCTTCATTTTGCCTTTCAGCAACGTTTAAACCATTTTTTGATCATTTCAGCTATTTTTTTAAGCTATTTTTTGTGCTTATTTCTGCTTATTTAATCAGCAAATGTGTTCTTTCTCTTTTCTTCTGCTAATTTAGGCTTGTTATTCTATTTCAGCATGTTTTTTTTAGCTAATTTCAGATGTTTCTCAGCAAGTTCTTCTGCAATAAGCATTCACACTGCATTTTCGCAGGAAAAGCAATTTTGCTAGTTAGTAAAAGTTGCTCAACTTGTCAAAAAGGAATAAACTTTTCTTAATATTATGTTTTTCTTCCTCTCCTAGAACAGTTAAAACTGACGAGGGCAGTTTTGTGAGCAACGCACAGCAGTGCACAGTCACCATTTCTGGAGCTGCCGATGAAGAATAAACAAGTCGATGTGTGATTTCAGTGATCACATGCAGAGTTCAACGCCTTTTTTTTCCCTTTCTTGAAACATCTAGAAGTTTACACTGCATTTCAACAGCAGTAATCCAAAACTTGTACACCGACATTATGTGCCTGCTCATAACCGTCTTTCAGATTCTCTGCTTATTTAATCTTCTTTGTCAGGAACAGTAACAAAATAAACAGCAAGCAAGCGTAGTTGTCATTTTCATTCAAAGCTAAAAACTTATTCTATAATTTTTTCATTGTTTATTATGAAAAAAAACTGTTGTTTTAATATTAATTTCAATTTTACAGCTTGAAAAGTAAATAAACTTCACAGGGTTCTGCTCAAAAAGGGTTTATTTAGAAAAGATAGCCCAATAAAACCTTAGAAAACTGTTTAGACAATTTCCAGTATTCATTTTCATACATACATTTACATCATGTATAATCACAGAATCTGATCCATATAAGGAGAATTTCCCCTGAATGGCTCCTCCCGTAGTGTAAACCTTACAGAATTAACAGTGGAGTGTAAAGTGCAATTTAACAAAATGACTTCATCTGCAACAAAAAGGCAATCACGAGTAAATTTGGCTTCAGAGTCTCGTGATATTAACTGGAGATGCATTTAGTTTGATGATTTGTAATCTACAAAATCATGGATTGAGAATGTGTTTCTAGTGTAATGGTTTGGGTTCCTCTCCTACTCCTGCGAGACGATGAACTACAAGGCTGACTTCATGAGCCAGATCATCAGCATTCTCCTACAACACCAAAAATAACAAGGAGACAACGTTATTCAGAAAATAATTCTATCCGTTACAGTTTTACACTGCAAAGTAAATCTATAAGTTAAAAAAAATAATCTGTTACCTGAGTGTCGGCCTCTGCGTAGACCCGGACCACATCCTCAGTACCTGAGGGCCTGACAAAGGAGCGAGCCCGACTGTAATTGTTCACCAAAGTGTCGATGGCCTCCTGCAGCCCAGCTGGGCTCACTACTCGCCTCTCTGCATCTGTTGTATCGATCACTCTGCGGTCAGAAACCTTAGAGGAAACAAATCAAATAAACAAACACACCTTAATAAGTACAGCTCAAAGTTTATTTCACTTCAAAATTCAAATGCACTAAAAAGAACTATAAACAATGAAAATAAACTGGAACAATTCTTATATCTGAAAATATAGCATGGAAGCTGAGAGTTGAATAAATGGTGAAATGTGATGAAGAAACTGAACTGAGTCAAAGTTAAAAGGAGCAAAACATTTGCTAAAAGATACAAGAAGGAAAAACACAAGCTTAAAAAGCAAAAGTAGCAAAAGGCTAGCTAAACGTAGCATAAAAAAACAAAAATACAGGCAGACTCAAAAAGAACACAATTTTTTAAAAGTAAATAAGGGGATCTCAATGCATTTTTATGGGAAAAATATTTGAACAGAAAGAAATATTTTGAAAAGTATAGAAATTCCAAAAAACTGCAAGTCGTAGTGATGGGGGATGTAAAGGTCATGGATGTTTTTCACTTACTAATATCAAATGTTATAGAACCATGTGTGTGAGTTAGAGTAGTTTCGTCTGAACAAAGTGGAACCTGCAGGAACACGGAGCCTGCGCACCTGATAAACTTCAAAGGCCCCTAAGCTGGAAAGCAGAGTTGTCTTGACCTCGCCTTTTTTGATAGGCGTATAAGTTTATGCTCCTTTATGCTGTCCGGGGGCAGACCTTGTGATCCGGGCATTGTATAACATCTTGTATGCCTGTTTCCAATTGCTGCTCCGCTTGCAAGGATTAAACCTGGGTTGTAATGATCTTCTCGCATCCTGTGTGGCTTATTTTATAAACGAATTGATGACAGGACAATTAAATTATCCAACACATAGCACCAATCCACTGAATGAGATGAATTTGTGATGTATGAATGATCAAAATAGCACAAAATATCTAGAGGTAGTTAGATTGTAAAAATGTACAAAAAACAAGGAAAAACACGTGAATGCTGACAGACTTCATGTAAGATTGTAGACGTAGTTTCATCAATTTGTGCACCTTAACTTTCAGCTGCCTGTTGGGCAAGTCGTTGTAGATGCTGTCCCACTGCTGAACCGTCATCCCTTTGATGGCTAAAATGGCTTCAATCAGCAACATGTCGGATATCGCATCTCCTACAGTCTGAAAAAAAAAAACCCATTCATCCTATTAATTACAAGATCTTTGTTTTTAACATAAAGAGTTCCAGTTACGGCAGAGTTCATGAGAAATGTCAGCTCGCTATGGTTTTGCACCTGGTTGATGATGTTGATGGTGCTCTGCAGCAGGAGAGCAGCTTTCTTCACCTCATCGTTGATGCTGGTGGCCTTGGCTAGTTGCTGAATTTTTACCTCAGCGTGTTTGCTGAACAATACCTGAACACAACACAAACGCACCGTTACGCTGGTCAGAACTCATCTTGTCTGATGTCAAAGCAAAGTCACACTCCATCTTAGTGACGACGCACAGGTGTATCGAGTTTCGTTATATTACCTTGAGCGGATCACAAGTTACAGATGGAACAAGAGAAAGTTTCTGAACAGCTGGACTGAGACTATACCATAACTAGTCCGTCTTTTGACAGTTGTATAAAAATAAAGAAACAAGCCCTACACCTGAAACAATTCAGGTCTTAATTAGTATGATATTATTTCTATTTTATCATGGAAGTGATCAAAAATAGTGGCCAATCTAGAGTGACTGGGATAAAAGATTTTACAGATATTACCGGTAAATTTCTTATGGTTGCTCCTTTCTTCAAAGGTCACCACAGCGAGCAAACTCGCGTGAAAGATTTGGCAATTTATTTTATGCCAGACCAATTTCCTGGCGCACTGGGATCGAACCCACAACTTCAGGATTACAAGAACACGGCGCTGACCACCGAGCTACCACAGCCAGTGAAAGTCGAGGCCTCAACCTCAATAAACCGAAATGTCCAACAACTTGATTATTGAACGTTCTGTGATCAAATGTCTGGAAAACTCAAACTGCCTTTAAATGGTGACATGTTTATAAAAACAATGTGTTTGTAGGTTGAGCAGTAGAAAGTTTTTAGTCTCAGTCATCCAGGTAGAAAACAAAAATAAGCTTAAATAATTTCATCTGGACCAGTTTCTTTAAGGGAGATACGTTTCGTCTTCCATCCGGAAGACTTCATCAGTCTGCGGCCTGCCAACCAGATCTGTCCCTTAAGTAGCCTTCATTGCTGTATTTTCCCATGTTTTCTGTGAGTAGCAAGTCGGCCATCTGGCCTAAAACATTTGATTGTTATACACGATGATTGTTTTGGACGGATGGGTCATTTTGCATGTGTTAGCTAAAAGCCTGCTTCTGAGATTCTAACAGGAGGTTGGCTTGAAACACAGCAGTGAAGGCTGCTTATGGGACAGATCTGGTTGGCAGGTCGTAGACTGATGAAGTCCTCCGGATGGAAGACAAAACATTTCTCCCTTAAAGAAACTGGTCCAGATGACATGATTTAACCTTTTTATGTTGAACAGTAGAGTTGAGAATGTGGGTTGTTGTGCCCATAAAAATTTTACCGTATCAGCTCTGCCAATACCAAACAGTTTATTCTGCTTTTTTTTTTCCTCTTTCTATTCAACCTTTATTTAGACAGTTTAATCCCATTGAGCCTCGAGGACTCATTTACAAGAGAAACCTGATTTTTGTTGTTGTATGTTTTTATGTATAAACCCTTTGAACTGAGAAGTTAAGACTCTTTCACACAAGTGGAACTACTGTCGATGTCAACAAATACCCCCTTCAACAGCAATGGACACAGAAAGCCGAGGTTTATAATACTTGGTTGGACTGCTAAATAAAGTTTTTAATAAAAGTATACGTTTTTACTTACAGTCCCGTGTCCGTTTGCCTCAAAGTACACACCAACGTCAAACTCTTGAGCTGCATGATGAAGATGCTTCACTCCAGTCTTTGTGCATTTCACTATCACCTATATCGGATCAAAATCTATCAGAACTAACTTCTCCAAATAAACACAGAAATAAAAAACAGCACTGCAGTTTACCACGCGGTCTCACCTTCATGGTGTTCTCCAGGTAGTGTGTTGAGCTTCCGTTTGCATAAGCAGTTTGCACCACTGCTATCTTCAAGTCTAGACCAGCCTGTTTGTGCAAAGGAGAACGGTTCAGCGAGGGTCTGCCCATTTATGGTTTACGTGTTGGTATTCGAGAGCGTACCTGAATGAGCAGCTCTTTAAGAAAAGTGCTGATGAGAGTCGCAATCTTGTCTCCATCCAGCAGGTGGAAAAGCCCCTGAGAGTCGGTGTAGTAATAAACTATTCGATCAGCGTCTCCGTCAAAGGAACAGCAACGATCTCCTGAGTTCATATCGATGCCTTTACACAGAGAACAGAAAGACGTGGGATAAAGAGAGAAAACTAAAGAAATCCATCTTCTAAAATCATGCTGAAGTCAGAGTTCAAGGGGAGAACTTTCCTTATAGCTTCATGTCTCAATCAGCTCATGCTGGAGTTGGTAATATTTGTTATTTTCAGGTTTAAACCACTACAAACAGTTAGCATTAATTTCCAATACAACATTTAAAGACAGATATTTACGTTTAAAAAAGGGGGAAAAAAATCTACTGGGATTAAAAAGGTAGGGATTTAGAGCAACAAAATAATCTTATTGTTTTAAAGTGGATTTACAAAAATGTAACGCAACAACATTTGAAACATTTGAACTGCCTTTCCTTATTTCCTCAGAATCCTGCCCGTCTAGAGGCCGTTTCAATACTTCACAATGGCAGAGTCGAGATGGAACACCACATTTCAGAGGATTAAATTTGTTTTATCAGATTACAAACCGGATTCCAAAAAAGTTGGGACACTAAACAAATTGTGAATAAAAACTGAATGCAATGATGTGGAGATGGCAAATGTCAATATTTTATTCGTAATATAACATAGATGACAGATCAAAAGTTTAATCTGAGTAAATGTAACATTTTAAAGGAAAAATATGTTGATTCAAAATTTCACAGTGTCAACAAATCCCAAAAATGTTGGGACAAGTAGCAATAAGTGGCTGGAAAAAGAAAATTTTGCATATAACGAACAGCTGGAAGACCAATTGTCACTAATTAGGTCAATTGACAACATGATTGGGTATAAAAAGAGCTTCTCAGAGAGTCAGTGTCTCTCAGAAGCCAAGATGGTAAGAGGATCACCAATTCCACCATTGTTGCGCAGAAAGATAGTGCAGCAATACCAGAATGGTGTTACCCAGCGTAAAATAGCAAAGACTTTTAAGTTATCATCATCAACCGTGCATAACATCATCAAAAGATTCAGAGAATCTGGAACAATCGCTGTGCGTAAGGGTCAAGGCCGTAAAACTCTACTGGATGCTCGTGATCTCCGGGCCCTTAAACGTCACTGCACCTCAAACAGGAATGCCACTGTCAAGGAAATAACAGAATGGGCTCAGGAATACTTCCAGAAAGCATTGTCAGTGAACACAATCCACCGTGCCATCCGCCGTTGCCAGCTGAAACTCTACAGTGCAAAGAGGAAGCCATTTCTAAGCAAGCTCCACAAGCTCAGACGTTTGCACTGGGCCAGGGGTCATTTAAAATGGAGTGTGGCAAAATGGAAGACTGCTCTGTGGTCAGATGAGTCACGATTTGAAGTTCTTTATGGAACACTGGGACGCCATGTTATCCGGACTAGAGAGGACAAGGATAGCCCAAGTTGTTATCAACGCTCCGTTCAGAAGCCTGCATCACTGATGGTATGGGGTTGCATGAGCGCTTGTGGCATGGGCAGCTTGCATGTCTGGAAAGGCACCATTAATGCAGAGAACTATGTTCAGGTTCTAGAACAACATATGCTCCCATCTAGACGTCATCTCTTTCAGGGAAGACCCTGCATTTTTCAACACGATAATGCCAGACCACATTCTGCAGCGATCACAACATCATGGCTACGTAGGAGAAGGATCCGGGTACTGAAATGTCCAGCCTGCAGTCCAGATCTTTCCCCTATAGAGAACATTTGGTGCATCATAAAGAGGAAGGTGCGACAAAGAAGGCCCAAGACGATTGAACAGTTAGAGGCCTGTATTAGACATGAATGGGAGAGCATTCCTATTTCTAAACTTGAGAAACTGGTCTCCTCTGTCCCCAGACGTCTGTTGAGTGTTGTAAGAAGAAGGGGGGATGCCACACAGTGGTAAAAATGGACTTGTCCCAACTTTTTTGGGATTTGTTGACGCCAAGAAATTTGGAAACAACAGATTTTTCCCTTAAAATGATACATTCTCTCAGTTTAAACTTTTGATCTGTGATTTGTGTTCTATTCTGAATAAAATATTAGATGTTGGCACCTCCACATCATTGCATTCAGTTTTTATTCACAATTTGTTTAGTGTCCCAACTTTTTTGGAATCCGATTTGTAGATTCTTGGGAATCTAGTGAAGCAGCAGACGCAAGGCTGAAAATAATCTTTTATCTCCTTGAATAAAAGCCACAAAGAGTTAAAGCTATGGGTGCTGTGTGGTTCAAAAAGTATCTTAAAACCACTTTCACTGTTTTTGAGTATCAAACCCACCGCAGTGCTAGGTGGAGCTGGTGGGTTTAAAACAAAAAACACGAAAAACAGCAACCTTTAAGAGATTAGATTAAGAATCAGAATGTTTAAATCCTGTCAAAAGCAACGTCAGGAAAAATAAGTTTATAACTTGGATAGTCTGGTGGTTTCTACAAAGCAAACAGTAAAGCAAAAATGTCATTTCAGACAAACTTTGCATTAAAATTTTCCTTCTGGGTTTAGTAGCACTTAAGACATTTAAATTTAGTTTGCAGAGACACGACTTGCAATAATCTTTGCCTGGATGGTTTAGTGTCTCAAATGCCAACAGATCCTTAAAATAGAGCCTTCATAGAATAAAAACAAGAAAAAGCAGTTAGCCCTAATTGAAGCAACTGGCTTCTTTCAGCCTCCATCTTTACACAAATGAGCAGAAAGCCAACATGAAGCATTTTTGTTGCTTCAACTCAAGTCTGGAGCTGCACCTGTTGGAGGTTTCTGCTGCACTTTGACAAAGTCCGCTCCACACTGACGGTTTAGTTCTCCTTTGCTGCCGTCGTTGAAGATGGACATCTGCAGCTCCTTCTTCAAGCGGCTCTCAATCTCGCGCACCTTCAAGGCCCCGATCCCATTAGCGCCGTCAACACAGAGGTACTTCTGGTCATCCGTACGGTTGGAAGCCTGATGAGAAGAAGTGGTAAATAATAGGGATGCACGATATTGTCAGCCGATATTAGCAATAAAGTTAAATATCAGACATCAGCCATTCCTTCAAAAAAACAGTTTTAAGTTCATTTTTAATTTAAGAAACTGTCAAGTATATTAGGGCTGCAACAACGAATCGATAAAAATCCATGATTAAAAGCGTTGGCAACGAATTTCATTATCGATTCGTTGTGTCGCGTGATTATGCGTCTTACACGGCGCTGCAGAGCCGTTTTGTTCACCTGCAGTTCATTGTCAATGCCGACTGACTGAATAAAGTAAAAAAAATATTTAAAAAACTCTGCAGCGCGAGTTGAACAGAGCGAGGAGGGAGGTGGAAGCAGAGCAGAGGCTGTTTTCAAAGGAAATTAAGTAAATTTTACAAATGACCGACGCAGAGAAAACTGTTCGACCCAAGTCCTCCAAAGTGTGGGAGCTCTTCACAAAGATAAAAACTGAAACATGCAGCTTTGAAAAGTGACGACACGACACGGGAGAACCACGGAGATGAAACGTAAACATGTGGGAGTCACGAGGAGGAGGAAGGAGCAGCAGCAGATACAACTCGTCGTGTGTTGCAGGTGAGTCTCTACAATATTCACATTGTTCTGTTTCAAAGTGAGAAAACGTAACGTCAGTCTCTCTGAAGATGAAGCTGTTTGTTTATCTGATTAATGGCAGTGATAGAGAACGTGTGTTACTTTTTATTTAATTGGTACAAGCAGTGTTTAAATGTGATTTATAAATAAATCTAACACAAAGATAAAAATTTAATGATTAAGCTTCAACTTTTAATTTGCTGGCAAAGTCTGAAGACACTGCAGGTATGGCAGGGTGAATTGCATTTAAACAGGAATTAAAGTAATTTATTACATCTACTCAAATGTGTGTAATTAAGTATTTTATATGTGTGTGTTTAATTACTCTTTTAGCTACTTTTGCCTGAACCTAACACTGTAAGTGAAACAAGGCGTTTCTTGAGTAGCTGTAAATTATGCTATAATACATATTTACTCTCTCATTCCAGAAAACAACAACAAACAACAACACTTCATGATGGAAAGACATCATGGACACCACAGCAGCAGCTGTCTTCACTGAAAGATCCTTAAATGATCATCACTGACATGAGGCCTCTGTTGATGGTTGAAGACAAAGGCTTCACTACAATGATCCACACTTTTAATCCAGGTTACAATAATCCACACTTTTAATCCAGGTTACACTCTTCCCTAAAGGACACATTTTACAAAGTAGCTACATATTGTGCAGGTATAAAGATACATTTGTATATATTTTTGTGTACATTAATTTTTTTAAGCTATTTGACTAACTTTTATTTTTTATTATTTAATATTTTGCTAACAGAATAGTCAAATAGCAACCTGTTTTTTGTGCAAATTGCTATGTCAGTCAAATGTTCAATTTTGGAATAAAGGGGTGGAAATTACCCCCCCCCCCCCC